TCCTTTTGTGACTGACTAATTTCACTCAGCATAATGTCCTCAAGGTTCATCCATGTTATGTGGTGGCTTACAGCTTCCTTGCTATTCTTCAAGGTAGCATAGTATTCCATTGTGTGTATGTACCACAGTTTATTTCTCCATTCTTCCATTGATGGACACTTAAACTGTTTCCATCTTTTTGCTATTGTAAATAGTGCTGCTATGAACATTGGTGTGCATATATCTACTTGTGATATGGCTCATATTTCTTGTGGATAAATACCAAGTAGAGGGATTGCTGGATCATAAGGTATTTCTATTTCCAACTTTCTGAAGAAGCACCATCCTGGCCTGGTTTTGACTGATGTTATTGAGCTTGTCCGCCATCTGTTTCCACAGATACAGTTGGTTTAATTTCTGTGTATTCCATTTGGCAAAGTCCGCATGTATAGTCACCATTTATGTTCAAAAAAGATATTTGGTATGAATAAGTCATTGGTCTTGCAAAATTCTGTCATGTGATTGCTAGCATCATTTCTGTCACCAAGGCCATATATCCTAACTACTGATTCTTCCTTTTTGTTTTCAAATTTTGCATTTCAGTCACCAGTAATTATTAATGTATCTTGATTACATATTTGATCAATTTATGACTGAAGAAGTTGGTTGAATTCTTCAATTTCATCATCACTGGTTTTAGTGACTGCTGGGTAAATTCGAGTAATAGTTGTATTAATTGGTCTTTTTGTAGATGTATGGATATTATTCTATCATATTGCTTTGTACAACAAGATATATTTTGAAATGATCTTTTTGATGATGAATGGAACATCGTTCTCTTCAGTTTGTCATCCTTGACATAGTAAACCATATGACTAATTCAAAATGGACAAATGGACTGTTAATGTTCTTCTTCATATAATCCAGCTTCTCAAATTATGTGCTCAGAATACAGATTACATAAGTATGGGGAAAGAATACAACCCTGACACACATCTTTCCTAATTTCAAACCATTCAGTGTCAGTTTGTTCAGTTGAACAACTGCCTCTTGGTCTATGTACAGGTTCCTAATGAGCACAATTAAGTGTTCTGGAATACTCATTCTCTGCAATGCTGTCCATAGCTTGTCATGATCCTACAACCAAAAGCCTTTGCATAGTCAATAAAGCACAGGTAAACATCTTTTTGGTATTCTTTGATGTTGTTGTTGTTGTTAAGTGCCATCAAGTCGGTTCCAACCCGTAGCAACCCTGTACAGGGTTTCCAAGGGTGTAAATCTTTACGGGAGTAGAAAGCCTCATCTTTCTCCCGCGGAGCAGGTGGTAGTTTCGAACCGCTGACCTTAAGGTTTGCAGCCCAATTCATAACCACTACGCTACCAGAGCTCCTTGGTATTCTGTGATACTAGGGGCTTATTAGAGTAAGAGGTTAAATGACCTCAGGTTAAGATATGTGGAATATAACATTGCTTTTAGAGGCAAAAGAGTTAGGCTCTGGTTGTAATCCACTCTTGTTTGTTGAACGACAGTATGTTTGGTTGGAAAGCATAGTGGCGCAAATGTTGCCTTTGTTTTGTTATGTAAGCCTCCATGTATTAACAGACTAGCAGGAAGGAAAAGAAACATAACATTTATCTAATGCATTGCTCTCTTCTAAAAATGTTTCCAGACAATATTGATAATTTTTAGTACCTATTTCTATATTTTTATATTAACTGTATCAAGTCATTTGTCCTAAGAGCTCTACTAGATACTGTTTGCTTATTTTTGGTTTGTGTAAAATGATAAATGATCATTTATGTCAGCACTTCAGAAAATAAATAAATAAATATAGGAACACTGGTGGCCGAGTGGGTTATGCATTGGGCTGCTAACCTCAAGGTCAGCAGTTGAAATCCACCAGACACTTCATGAGTCAAAAATGAGGCTTTCTGCTCCTGTAAAGATTTACAGCCTCAAAAAACCTATACAGGATCACTTTGAGTTGGAACCCACTAGAATTAAGAACAACAATTTCAAAATATACTGTTTCTTAATTTACTCAAATTACTAATCCTGTCAGTTTTGTAGATTCATTTCTGACCAATTTAAGGCAGCTTAAATTTGACTATTCAAATAAAATGGCATAATTTTTTTATAGTTGTGCTTTGTATACCAACTTCAACAGGAAGGGGTACAGGAAAAAGTGCCCTGGCTACGTAGCAAATCAAACCAAACCCACTGTCACTGAGCCGAACCTGACTCATAACAATCCTATATAGGTTTTCCAAGTCTGCAAATCTTTAGGGGAGCAGAAAGTCTCTTCTCCCCCGCTCTGAGCAGCTGGTGGCTTTGAACTGCTGGACAATCTTGCAGTGTCCAGTCCAGTGCTTATCCTACAGTGCCGCCAGGGTTCCTTCTGACTTTATGTTGTTATTAAGTGTTGTCAAGTCCATTCTGATAGCTGATAGCTACCCTATATAGGATTTCCGAGGAGCAGCTGGTGGGCTTCAACCACCGAACTTGTGATTCACAGTCCAGTGCTGATCTTACAGTGCCACACCAGGAGTCCTCTGACTATATAGATACTGGAAAGTGTATTTGTCCACAGCAAATGTCCAACACAGATCTGAAAATGTATAGATTGAATATATTTTAATGTATGTGTTTAACTTAATGATTTATTTGTGTGTGTGTGTGTGTTTGTGGAGTGGGGGACCTAGATGAGGCCTCAGAGAAAGTGGGTGAAATAGTTTAAAAGCATCTTTCCCTGGAGGGAACTGCTGAGCTGTATCAGTGTTATTCTATATTCTCTTCACTAGACACATACCAAGTCAGAGAGAGGTGTGGGGCTGGTGCTAGAGGTGGCACTCACCTGTGCTTCACCCAGGTGTCAGACTCATTGCTTTGCTCTGTGTAGTTCTCAGGTAGGAAGCCCCGGCAGCCCGTCCGCTGTGAGATCCCGATCACCCAGCCTTCACTGGCTTCCTCCTGCTGAGTGGGGTCCACAAAGATGTAGTCTCCAGGAGTCAGCATCAGCTCATCCACATTCTGTGGTTTATACTGGAATAGGACTTTCAAGGTCTAGAAAGCAGGAAACGTCTTCTCAGGTCTCAAACAAAGATTTATGTTGGGAAATGGTAGCAATTGTTGTTGTTATTGTTGGCTGCCATTGACTCGGCCCCTGACTCATGGCAGCTCTATGCACAACAAAGTGAAATGCTGCCCACTTCTGTGCCATCTCCACAAACAGTTATGGATCCGACTGCTGCACTCCATAGGTTTTCATTGGCTGAGTTTTTGGAAGTAGGCTGCCAGACCTTTCTTCCTAGTCTGTCTTATTATAGAAGCTCCGTTAACACCCATTCAACATCATAGTAATGTGTAAGCCTCCACTAACAGATAGCTGGTGGTTGCTCAGAAAGTGCATTGGCAGGGAATCCATCCCAGGTCTCCCAGGTGCAAGGTGTGAATTCTACCATCAAAACAGCACTGCCTCCCTGACAGCAACACAAACCTAATTTGCATTTTGCCTCTTGTTTTCAGGACACCTAACATGGTGTGCCACCACTCATCTGTCAGTTTGTTGTACTGTGGTGGCCGATGAGTTGCTGTGATTCTGAAAGCTATGCTGACAGTATTTTAAATACCAGCAGGGTCACCCATGGTGGACAGGTTTCAGATGAGCTTCCAGACAAAGGCAGACTAGGAAGAAAGAGTAGAGGAGAATACTGAAAGTATTCAACATGCTCTATGCCTTCCATTACAAGATCCAAGCCTTTGTCTAATAATATATAACATGGAATGTGACAAAATACAATGTAACATTTTTTGGTAGATTTGAAAACAATGAAAACCACTGGGTGGGTTCAAACTTCCAAGCCTTTGATGAATGTTGTTAAGTGCCCATCCAGTCAGTTCTGACTCACAGTGACCCTTATTGGGTTTCCAAGGAGCAGATGGTGGGTTTGAACCACCTATCTGTGTTTATCTTATCACGCCACACCAGGACTCTTAGGTTGGTTATTGTTGCTGTTAAGTGCCATCGAGTCAATTCTGACCCATAGCGACCCTGTTTAGGGTTTCCAAGTAGCAGCTGGTGAGCTTGAACTACTGACCTTGCAGATCAAACCGACTTTACAGTCCAGCACATTAACTCAGCACCATATGTTGGTTGTTGAATGCAAATTTTACCACCCAGTAGCCTTTATATAAAATTATCTTGTTCCAAATTGCACAAGAAAGCAAACAATTTTAGAGACGGGATAGAGGTTTCTGTCTGCTATAAAAACACCCCAGCAGAGAGTCCTGGAGTTAAGTACTCTATAAGATAAGGGTCATTCATGTGGACAATCTGTTCCAGTTACACTGACCCTGGGGTTCTCTGTCTGTGGCCCTGAGGCCTGGTCACTCACATGGTAGTGTACGAAGCGCATGTCCCGGGAGTATAGAGCAGCCGTCCATTGGCAGCCCGGGCTTGCAGGAATGGCTCTGGCCAGCTGCTCCAGTGTCCTCTGATGGTGGGGGTGGAACTTGTGGGCCAATGTCAGGTGGAGCTGCTTGGTGCAGGATTTCACGGTGCAGTCTATTAGGTGAGGAAAACACATGGAGACCACAGAGCACCTTCATAAAGTCATTACTTAGGATGGGTGGCAGAAATGACATTATACATATAGCCTCAGATTCTACCCTCCCCATTCCACTGTCTGCACTTCCTGAACTATAGGGCAAAATGATGCTGGACTTTAAGGCCTCTTTTGGAGAATTCACCTTATAAAAAGAGATGGTTAAAGACTTGTAGATTTTACAAGAAAGTGGGAAAGAGTAGGGTATAGAGATGTAGGTTTAAGGAATTCCAAAAACAGTTGCTGCTGATTTAATTTGACTCATAGCAACTAAATTTGTGTCTGAGTAGAACTGTATTCCACAGAACATTCAATAGCTGAATTTTCAGAAGCAAATCACCAGATGTTCTTCCTAAGTGCTTCTGGGTAGACACGAACATACAACCTTAGTGCTTTAACCATTTACATCATCCAGGAAGGGACTCCTACCTTACAAAAGGAGATGGCTAATGACCTACATGCTTTCATGCAAGCAGGGAAAAGGAGAGTGTAGACATGTGGATTTAGTAATTTTGCAAGTTATTCTGTCCAAATAAAGAATTAAAATGAGCAAAGTGAAAGCACGTCTCTTTCCTTCACTGCCATCCTGCTAAACAGCTTCCTCTTGGTTCTCTGGAGGGTAGAAATCACTCAGCAGCCTCGAATCATAGACTCCTGTTCCAGTTCAGTGGTCTTTTGTTCAATTTTAGTGTCTCAGGAAGAAAACTCCAGAGGCAACTGAACATTGTGGAAGGTGATGTGTCGCTAATATTTAACGCACTCTGGTCAATAAGGAAGCCTACTCAGAGTGGTAGAGCCTCTTTCTGGGTGGCTTCTGCCTCTAAAACACTCCCCAACCCCCTCCTGACTCTTTCACGGGCATCTGGGACAGTGAACAGGGCCCATGGGCATCATCTAAGCAGTGGGGTCTGATTTCAAGCAGGCACAAAGTACTCTATGTTCTGAGAAGTGATGTTTTTACAGAAACAGTGCAAGTTTTAGTATCAGGTAGACCTGGCTTTTAACCTGGTTTTGCCCAGTTTGGCTGGGTCACCAGGGTGACTATCTTGGCCCAATATAGTCTCAGTTTCCCCAGAAGGGACATGTGGATACTGACCACTGCCTGCTGGGGCTGCTGAGACAAAGGGATCCCTTAATTTGTCATCCTGAGCAGTCCCTCAATCAGTAGTAGCTCCCTGTCTCTCCATTGTTAGCAATGCCAAGGGCAGTGCAAACACACCCTGGTGACCCAGTTCTTCAATCCTCCACCTGAGCCTCTAGTAGCAAATTAAGGGAAGGCAAGGTCTCTAAGCAAGCGCTGAGGTGCTGGGGGTGCGGGGAGCAACCTGAAACAGAGTGTGTAGGTGGTGGGAAATTCCTTTCCTTACATTTGTAGAAGTCGGGGGAGGGACAGGCTCCCCATGTGAGTCAGCCTGGCCTGGGAAAGGCCCAGAGTGGCTGTCATTGGAACGGAGACTGAGTCACACTGACTTTTGAATGGACTTTTGTCTTCTCTACACAACCTCCTTCCCCTGAGGATGTTTCACTGGGGAGAGTCAACATGGTTAGAGGTACAACTGTCCTAAGAGGGACAATCTGAAGCTGAGTGTCCCAATGTTATTTAGACCAGGCCTAGCCTAACCTCTTGGAGTCCTGGTATGGCACTGTGGGATAAAGCATTGGACTGCAAGGTTGATTTGAACCACAAGGTTGGTGGTTCAAACTCACCAACCTCTCCTTGGAAGCCCTGTATAGGGTTGCTATGAGTCAGAACCAACTCGATGGCACTTAACAATAACAACAACAACCTAAGCCCTTATCATGAGACCAAGGCACAGTCCACAGAGAGGGAGGCAGGCCAGGGCAGAGACTGCTCAGGGATGGAAACTGCTTTCTCAGGAAGCAGGGTCAGTAACCCAGGCAGCATGGTCCAAGACAAATCTAGGTTCAGATCCATTTCCACCACTGACTCAGTAGGTGACCTTTATCCTTTATAACCTCATTCTCCCCATCTGTAAAATGGGGCCAATAATACCCCATGGGAGGAGAAGGGACATGTGATATGCCATGGCTGCTCTGACCCACTGTGTCAAGACAACAAGAACTACCTTGCCATTTTAAAGCTGAGGACTTTAAAAAAGCGATCATTTAAACTCATATTTACATATCAGAGACTTACCTAGGTTTGTCCAGGATTATGGATTGGATTGTGTCCCTCCCAAATATATGTTGAAATCCTATCCCTGTACTTATGAGTGTGATGCAATTTGAGAGTTAGATTTCCTTCATTATTTTAATGAGGCAACACCTGAGAAGGGTGAGTTCTAAACCTAATCCCTTCTGAGTTACCAAACGATTGGATAAGACATAGGGGAAAGATACCATATGAAGACAGATATACACAGCAGATGCAGCTATAAGCCTAGGAACTCCAAAAATTGCTGGTGGCTACTAGAAATGGGGAGTCCTGGCATGACGCTATGTGATAATGCACTGGTTTACAAGGTTGATGGTTCAAGCTCACCAGCCGCTCTTTGGAAACCCTGTTCTCTAAAGCTACCCACTTGTGGTCTTTCTATTATAACAGTGCTAGAAACTAAGACATCTAGAAAATATGATCCACCCAGATCCATTGATCCAGACTTCAAGTGGAAATCTAAATGCACTGTTGGAAGACAGGGACAGATAAACATTGAGGGTGGGGAGGTGAGGGGTAACCAAGAAGGGTCTTCTAACCAGGGCACTAGGGCCCCTTCAAGTCTCAGAAAATCATAACATTATCAAGAACCTCTGTGTCCAGTGACCATGGTGGGCTGTCCACCCTAAAATGCTGCCTGGTTTATTGATGAGTGAGAGCCCATACCATTTGTAGATAAAGAACTAAGAGTAGGGGAAGTGATAAGATTAGATTAAAGGCATGCCACGAATGTTGTTGTTAACTGCAGACTCTTAGTGACCCTGTATAGGGTTTGCGGGGGTGGGGGGGGAGGGCTGGAGAGCTCGAACCACTGACCTTTTGTTTCAAACTGACCTTGTGGTCTAGTGCATTATCCTACAGCACCACACAGGACTCAACGCCACTTAGAAAGACCAAGAAATAAGTCAAACCCAAATATTTAGATGTTAAGTCTAGAGTTCTTTCCACTAAACCCAACTGTAGCCCCGGCCTCTAGAACAAGGCTTATGTCTGAAGAAATTTTGCCAATCTCAGACTGAGTCTAGATAGCCTTTCCCCCAAGAAATCAAGGAGAGAAGACTAAGCTCACACCCCTAAAATGAAAATAAATCAGCTTAAGGAAAATGGTGGTCCTTGAGTCAATTACAACTTCTCGTGACCCCATATGCGTTAAGAGGAGAACTGCGCTCCATGGGGTTTTAATGCCTGATTTTTACATAAGTAGATTCCCAGGCCTTCCTTTTGCAATGTCTCTGGCCAGTTGAACACATTAACTCGGACTCCAAATCAACATAAAAGTTGTGTTTTACATGCAGTGTTCACCTCTTGAGGAGAGGTGTTCATTGGGTATGGGACTGGAGGAGGCCCCAACCCCCCTGTGTGCATACCGACATACCACCCCTCCCATCATCCATGTATCTGCACAAACACTGAAGCTTGATGTGTGGGAGACTCCTCTGTGACAGTTTCCCAAGCAGCTGGAATATAGCTAAACGTTTTGAAAAACCACATCAATACAAAGAAGACTATTCTCATTTAAAGAAAAGACCCTATTAGTTCTCAGAATCTTTCTGTTGGTTTACATTTGGGAAGAAATGGCTCATTTGAGGGCTCAGGGAAGAGGATGTAGTTAATGTTGTTCAGCCTCAAATAACCTCAAGCACCGGACTGAAGAATGAAAAGCCACAAGCTGTCTGACTCCAGCCATATTAAAGATAGGCCTGGACCCTCGTCTTCCTGGAATTGACTTATTGCACTAAAGTTGTGTGAGAGTAGCCCCAGAAGGCCCACTTATCTGTTTGTTGGTCCCTGAAGGCACACTGGCCAGGAACTGCCTACCTGCTAAGGTGGATGCTTCTGTGGCAAACATCATGGCAAATTCCCGGATGATGTCTGCTGGGCTGTCATTGATGAAGAAGCCGAGGTAGCTGATGGAAGAGTGGAGAACCAGAGGAACCACAGTGGGGAAGGAGCCCAGGATCTGGTCCCCAGCTCTCTTCAGAGCCTCATACAAACATTCTACTTTATGGTCTTCACACTAGTAAAAGAGACAGAGAACATGCTTTCTCAAATCCAGTAGAAAATCATCTCTTTATTTCATAAATAAAAATTATAGAGCAGGAGAACAAACAAGATGGCAGATCGGGTGGAAGTGCAGTAAGGAGCTCCATCAGCAACAACACAGAATACCTGACCAAGGAGGCTAAGGGGATGGTCCCAGAATGCTGAACCACATATAAATGAATATTTATAAGGTCGGAAGGCTTACAGCTGGGGGAATTTGTGGCAGAAGCAAGAAATCCATTGCTTTCTAGTTCGGGACGCTCAGCTGTTCCAGGAGCCACCATCTTGGGTGAGACTAAGCGGAGGAAGGACAGGAGCAGCCACAGACGCCTGGCAGAACCGTGGAGATAAGGTGTGGACATTCTTTTCTTTTGGTAGCTGTTCATTGGTCCCTTGCTGTCTGAGTACCTCCATTCTGGTGACAATAGGGGTGCCTGAGCTAGTGGGCATCCCAGCTCCACCGTCAGAGGGTTCTACTATGCATGCGCACAGATCTCCTCGAAATTTAAAGAGACTGTTTCCAATTAAAACCAAACGGCCACAGCCGGCCCTGAACTGTTTACAACTAGAAAAAGGCCTGAACAGGGACTGTGGAGCAGGACAAGCAGACAAAAGAAGAAATAAGCCGAAAATTAAATGACCAACAGTGGCATCTTAAAATTTCTCAAGAAGAAGAGTGAAAAGGGAAGGCCATTTCCTGATCACATCTACCTGGAGGCAATCAGAAAGCATTAAAAATACCAAAATACATAACCATCTAAGTATTAAGGCCACAGATAACCCCTGAATATGGCCAAAAAACAAAAGCAGATGACCATATCTGCACATGTCCAGAAACGAGATAAAGTGACTGAGGCAAATGAGTTGGAAGTAG